AGCTTTGCTTCTTGTTTTGTGTGTGGTAAAAAGGGGAATTATGCTAAAGATTGTTGCCATTACAAGGAACATAAAAATGAGACCAACGTGATGAGCACTAATGAAGACATGGTAACAATACTTACTGAGATCAACATGGAAGATGGTTGGTGGATTGATTCCAGTGCAACCTGTCATGTGACTCCCTACAAGGATGCTTTTCATTCTCATAGTGAAGTCAGTGGTGAGAAAACCATCTTCATGGAAAATTCTTCTACCAGTGCTATCATAGGCAAAGAAGTCGTAAAACTTCCTTTCTCTTTCGGCAAAGACCTTACTCTGCAAGATGTGTATCACATTCCCGGACTTAGGAAGAGCCTTGTATCTGTTAAGAGGCTTGATGATCATGGTTTTAAAGTTGTATTTGATTCCCCAAAAGTGATCATCTTTAATAAGGGATCCTTTGTTGGGAAGAGTTATGCTAAAGACAATATGTATTCTATTAGTCTTAATAAAGACGTTTCTATTTCTGCTTATATGCTTGATTCACATATTAATTTTGTTTGGCATTATGGATTAGGACATATTGGTAGTAATTCTATGACTCAATTGATTTCTCATGGTTTTGTTCCTAAATCTAGTCATGTTTTAACTACACATAATTGTAAATGTCATGCTCAAGCAAAATATTGTTAGAAAACATTTTAAATCTGTTAGTAGATCTACTACTTTGTTAGAATTAATTCATATTGATATATGTGATAATAAGGATCTAATTACTAGAGGAGAAAAAAGATACTTCATAACTTTTTATAGATGATTTTTCTCAATTTACTTATATTTATTTGTTAAGAACAAAAGATGAAACTTTTGAAAATTTTAAAATATTTAAGGCAGAAGTTGAAAATAAACTTGGAAAGAAAATTCAAAGGGTTAGATCTGATAAGGGATATAAATATCACCTTAGACCATCTCCAACCTAGCACATTTTGTTTCATCAAATTTAAATTTAATGAAAACATACGCCTTTTCTTGCTCCAACCCTATCACCGAATAAGTATCAAATATAGGATTTCTCAAATCTTTCATCAAATTGAGGATGAATGTGCCTCTCATCAAATTACTATTCATAGCCGTTGAAGTTGCATGTCATTTTCGCCACTAGACGACCAACTAGATGTCCCGTCGTTTGTCCCCCCGGATGACCACCTCCCTACAAAAGTTTGTGAAAAAATTACACTAGCTAGTTGACTAGCCAAACATCCACCTAGTGAATCGGTGTTTTGATGAAAGTTCAAAATCCTCCGTTAGAGCGCGGGATATCAGATTGAGTTTTTGGTTAAATTTTTACTCAAATTTGTTGAAAAAAAAGATACAATGTTGGAGATGCTCTTAGGCCCTGTTTGTTCCACAGGATATAAAATAGAGGATATAATATGATGTGGGATATAGTCAGGATATATAATGAATAGGATATATGTATTGGATAGTGTATCCCCTAAATCATGTTTGTTGACTTGGTATATAAGACCGGATATATATTATCCATGTTTGTTTTATAAAATATATTGTGGGATATAAACAAATAATTTCCAAAATTACCCTCATAATATATTTTAAATACCCATATTGCCCTTATGTCCATCAAAACCAAATTGTTCAAATTAGGAAAAACTAATGTAAATCAACAAATTAAAAATTCGTATTATTTTTTATTTGAACAAATTAAATATTCGTATTAAATTCAATAATTTTTCAAAAAAAAAAAAATATATTAAACTAATGTCCACTGATAAAAAAATTTATATTATATTAAATTTAATAATTTTACCCCCCTCAAAAAAACTAATATTCATTCTAAGAAATTTTATCTTACAAAATAATCATTGAATGAAAAAAAATAACATCTTTATTCATTCATTCATCACATATCATTATTCTTATAAAATAATCCAAGCCATTATAATTAAAAATAACCTTCATTCATTCTAAGTAAATGATAACATTTTTTTGCAATAGATAACCTTCAACTTAATATATTAAGCATCATTCCAACAAAATTAAGCAATACTAATATTAAGCATACTTCAGCTTACTTACAACCCCAACAATTAGATTGAAACTAGGTACAAAAGCCATTTCTAGGGGATGTAAACTAGTTAGTCTGTCAAAATATTTCTAATCCTCCTAATTACTATGCAAAATAGGCACTACACATGTGCCTGAGGAGGAATAGCAATACTAATATTATAATATATAGATAGATATATGTCATTAGCCTACAGCAAACACACTTAAACACACCTAGCCAACAACAAACATACCCATTCCATTTTTTGTTCTTCAGGCAAGCTAAAGAACAAATCAACCCTTTCAGCATCCTTCACAATAAGGGTAGCTGCTCTCAACCTGTCATTCGTGTTCAGTCGCAACTTGGCTAGTTCCCCATTAACCAGCTTCCTAGCTTGAGACAAGTCTTGGGCATACCCAATCCTATGAGCAATTTCTTCCATGGTACTGTTGGTTTTCTTGAAGAAGGAACCAAACACAATAGCCATATCAACAAGACTCTTTGCAATACCTTCAGCTTCCCTAGCTCTTTTCTTAGAAGTTGTGCCGAAAGTCTATGCTCTAGCTCACCTTGTTCATGGTGAAGCCATTCTGTCTCGACGGAGAGGGGTTATCGCAATAAATGCTGTAAGGGCTTCATTAATGGTGATGTGCAATGGCAATAACTTTGCAGGATCTTTGTTTGCTTATGTGGCTTGTCCTTCACCCGCCACGTGTCTGAATATCATTGGTTCTTAATGCCATGTTGACTTCCAGCCATGTTGGGCCTCATCAGTTGAACTATGCATTGGGCCCTAAGTGGTAGGCTTGGGCTGTTCATAGTGGGCTATAGACTTTATGGGCCTACCTATGTCAGTAGTCCCCCATTCCCAAGTGCAGCTTTAGCCCAACGAAGGGAATAATGAAGAAATCGATAGGGTGAGGACCGACCGTAAGGAGGGCCGACCGCAAAGGGTGGCTGAGTGGAGGGGCCAATCATGAGGAGGGCCGACCGCGAAGGGTAGCCAAGTAGAAGGATCGACCGTAAGGAGGGCTGACCGCGAAAGGTGGCCAAGTGATATGGCACGGGGCTCGAGAGGTGGCGTGACATGTGCTGAAGCGAAGTCAAATAGACAGGAAAGGGGAAAAAAGGGCAATGGATCGTGGTTGTACACGTGACAGAATCTCGCAGTCGGGGAGGTTAGGCATTGGGCAAAAAGTGAAATGATAGGTCATTATAGGGTGTTGAAAAGAAAGTTTGGGCGGATTTGAAAAATTTTCAAACTAGCGAAAATTAATTGTGACCCTTGGAATACAGGCAAGCCTTAGGCTTTTGGTATTGTTCGTTTTACCTACCTTTTTGCAAAAAATCCAAACATTCCAAGTGTAAACTCCTTCATTGCTAACGATACACCCCTGCAACACTTTTTGAATTTTCTTGCGCCCGCATCCGAAACTATTCGCAGACATACGAGAGAGATGGCTCAAGAGGAAGCAACAACCGCAAGGGTTGATCCCCTAGGTGACGATGACGTGGTTGACCTGGCAGAACAATACTGGACGGAGTGTAGGGAGGGGAAGGGAACCAGTCAAGCGGTGCGGCCTCGACCCAGGACAATGATTTCGGTCGCGTGGCCTATCAGTCAGGTGGAGCCAGACCATTGGCACACCAAACCGGATAGATATGTACTGACAGCTGAGGAGTTGGAGGGAATAAGGAAGAAGTACCAAATACCCTTGGAGATAGGGCTGAGATTGCCCACCACCACGGAAAGGGCATCAGATGTGCGGCCGGGTGAATTTAGTTTGTACGAGGAGGCATTTTGAGGGGGTTCGAGGCTATCTCTCCCCCAAGTGGTGGTGGATATTCTGAACAAGCTAGAAGCGGCGCCAGGGCAATTGATGTCGAACGCGTGGAAGATAATAATGGCCTGCGCCAGTGCCTGGCTTCAGGCGACCGGAGGGGCGGCAATGACAGTAGAGGAGTTCTTCTCTTGCTATAAGGCTTCCGGTCAGTAGGAGACTTGGGTCACGCTGCAGGCGGTGGCAGGGCGAGGACTGGTGGCAGGTCTTCCATTGTCGGTGAAGGGATGGAGGCCGAGATGGTTTTTTGTGACGGCGAACGCTAGGGCGGGAGTTCGCACCACATGGAAGGTGCCAACCAAATCGGCCGAGCCCAAGTTGGACAAGGCGGTTGAGGATCGAGTGAAAAAGATGAGGGAATAGAGAGAAGAGAAGGGGGTGAGGTGGGATGAGCTGGTCCTGCCCTCAACATTGTTCGCCCTGAAATTGGGACCGCAGCCATTGGGGGAGGACCCAGCAAGGAAAGAGCTGGAAACGCGGAGGAAGGCGAAGGAGGAGCTTCACTCTACGTTGAGGTTTTCTTACATCTTATACTTCACAATGATTTATACACAAACCCTGTGTAACTCACCATTCTCATTCATTGCAGAATTACAAACATAAAAACAACAGTGTGCCAAACACAATTCATAATTTTATTCATTCACAAGCTTATACATAAGTTTACTACAGAAATTTCAAAAAAAAAAAAAAAAAAAAACAACAACAACAACCCAAACTCCAAGTACAAATTTTGTTCACACCATTTATTCCTCTTCACTTGAGGCGAGGTCTTCTTCTTCAACACCCTCATCTAAGGGGGTCTGGGCCACGTCGTCTTCATCAATCTTTATACTGCTGAGGTCCAAGTCTGGGAACAGCTTTTCTGCTTTGCGTTTAAACATCTTCTGCTTTGCGTTTAAACATCTTCTAGCCGCTGTCCCAGTACTTAGCTATCTCGTGCTTGTAGAAGTCCGACTGCTGGAAGCTCTGGATCACTTCTTCTTTGCTCCTACCCCCAGCGGTCGCTCCCGACGGGCCAGCCCCCCAGCCCCTTCTCTCGCCAAGTTGTTGGCGATCGCAGCATCAACAGCTATCTGAAAGTCAGCAGACCCCTTGAACTGCTCCACTTATGCGACGCACAAATCGGGGTATGCTGCCCTCTCAGAGGCTGACTTGGTCTTCTGTTCCTCCAACTCCTTCTCCAATCCTGCCTTCTCCTCCATCATCTTGGCTCGCTCGTCCGCCAACGTCCTCTCCAGCCCAACAATCTTCAGATCCAACTCTTCTTTCTCTTTGATTGACTGAGCGTGAAGATCTTCGTTGTTGGACATGGCCTCCTCCCACTGATCCACCCAAAGCCACTCAAGCGAAGCATGTCAGTAAGCAAATTGTATTGTCTTCTCCAAAATTTGATCTTTGACTCGATATGAGGGGATGCACGAAGATCAGTTCCAGGAAAAGCCAATATGATAAGCTTCTCCAATTCAGAGTAAAATCCACACCTGAACTGACCATTGTCAGCCTTCCATTTTTCACTGAACAGATCCCTCATGGCTCGAATCAACACATCACACTCTTTTGGACTCCACACTCTACGACCTCTTGATGAGGAAGCAGTTGCCTTTCCCTTACCCTTTTTTCGACATCCACTAGTAACAGTTGTGTTATCCATACCTAACATGCAACCATTTTTAACAGAACAATAATTTTATTAAGACAACCAAACAAACACTCCTATTAAGTTATGTCTTCAACAAATAACTGAAACATAAAATAAGTTACATGTCTACATCATCCTATTAAGTTACAAGTCTCCAACTCACTACACAACATAAGTATTAAAAAACATTACATCCAATGAAAATAGTACTTAATTTTACATCCTATTAGCTAACCACTCATTATACATTTGGTTAGCTAGAGTGTCCCTCCAATTACTCCATTGGTCAGATCCCTCAATTGTGTCAATGTACTCGTTCCCTGTTTCTTGATTATTTGGCAATGTGTCATCTAAGTCTACCTCCAATGGATCCATAGGCATCTCACGTTTGATGAGATTGTGTAGAAGACAACAAGCTGTGATAATTCGACATTGGGTCTTGATTGGAAAATAGGAATATGTTCTTAATATTGCCCATCTAAGCTTCAGAAGACCAAAACATCTCTCTATTATGTTACGAGCCGCGGATTGCTTCATATTGAAGAATTCCTCTGGATTAGTTGGGGGACCCCCTTCCCTCCAAGTGGACAAGTGGTAACGTTGTCCTCTATAAGGTGCTAAAAAGCCCTCCCCATTAGTATAGCCCGCATCAACTAGATAGTAGGAACCTGTAATAATGTTGGATTATATAATTACATAATCACATAATTTAAGTACAAGTCCAAAGGTTACACATAGTAAAGATATTGTGAAATACAGCTGTACCCGTTGGCACTCTCAACCCATTTGGTCTACTTATGGCATCTCTAAGTACTCTAGAATCTGAAGCGGAACCTTCCCATCCAGGTAAGACATATATGAACTGCATGTCATGGGAGCAAACACCCAAGACATTAGTCACAATTTCACCCTTTCTTGATCTATACCTTGCTTTATCTACTGCAGGAGCTAGCACTCTAACATAGGTGCCATCAAGTGCACCAAGACAATTCTACCAAAAATTACCAAAAATAAATTATTACTTATTAAATTGTAATTATGAATATTATAACTTTTATCAAACATGAAGAATTACCAAAACTAGCATATACCTGAAACCACCTCCACCTATCATCTGTGCACCCAGCAGTTATTGGCTCAGGTGTCTTTAGTAAGACACCTTGCAGTCGAAGCACAGCCTTAAGGACATCATTGAAATACTTACTAACTGTTTGACCAGTATAGCGATCCCGGTTTCCCCTTTCGTGCTTAACTGTAATCCGGATTCGGTTTCATGAGGGTGTTGTTGTCTTATCCTCTTTCTATCCCTTTCTCTTTGTGTTCGAGCTTTGGGTTGTGTTGGGCAAGTGGGGAATAAGTTGGTTGTGTTTTAAAACGTAAAATCCTTGCCCAGTTTTTGGTCCCTCCGCTCGAGCGGCGCTTTTGACGCTCGAGCGGGACTCTATTGTTGCTTGTACGCTCGAGCGGGAGTGCTGGCGCTCGAGCGGGGAAATCACCCATCCAGTATGTTGTCTGCAGTGGTATACGCTCGAGCGATGGACATGCAATGCAAAGACAGAAGCTAGACAGCCCCAAAATAAGCACTTTTCCAGTTATAAACATGGCCAAACAGCAAGTATAATCATGGCAAAAATAGCATACAAGAACAGGGGCCAAGATAGGGGTAATGAAGCAAGTGGTATAAGCTAAACCCAAACTGAAAAATTTCCTTCTACAACAATGAAGATAGACCAAAAATATGAACATTTACAGTATATGGAAGCCTCAAAA